TCATCATGTGTGCAGCCGAAGTCCCTGCAGCATTTGGCCTAAGTTTCCGGGTCTTAAAGAGACTACACAGAAGGAACTGGACTAGGGCCACTGAGAGATCTATTTGAAAATCCTACGCTGCCAACATCATACCTGGCACCTCTTACTGATGTGACAGTGGAAACCGCCTCCTCTGAAGAGCTATGACGTTTTCCACGCAAATAGCCTGTTGATCTCACTGCTAGCAAGTCATGTCTGACTACGCAGCGATCCCCAATGTAGCCAAGACCTCCTGTCGCCGGGTTTGTACACCCCCCGATGGCCCCCTCCACGTTTGTCTGCGTGCGCAGCCAGTCCATAATAGTCCGTGTCTGCGGCAAGCCTTGTCGCCCAGGAGTCTGGGCATGCGCAGACGCTCGGGGTCTTCTGAGGACACTGTGTTCATCGTCCTGGTATCATCCGGCCGTCGTCCAGCGGCAGTTAACTCTCTGTGTCCCCAGCCTGTGCTCGGCTAGTCGCCTCGCCGAGAGGCTGCGGAATACACGGCACAGGGTCCCCGGAAACAGGGCACACTCGCACTGTGGGCTTAACCATGGCTCCTCTCCCCTGCCCGACTCACCCACGCATCACCTTACTTGTTTTAACCACAGCCTTGCCTTTACCTTCTCAACCCTTTTCACTTCTGAACAAGTCGTAACAATCGTGGCTAAAAACTAGGCTGAAAACATCTAGTCACTCAACAACAGGAGGTGAGTTAGTAAGTCATGGCTCACGAATGCTATGGAATATTATTCAACCAATAAAAATGATGCAGTAGCTGCAATAACAAGATGAACACCCACCATATTTTAACAAGAATGATAACCCACCATACATTGCTAAGGAAGAAAAATTAAAAAGTCACAAAATAGGTTTTCTTAAGAAGGCCCATCAAGATGCTATCAGTTATAAACCTCCAATGTGTAGGATTATGGTTGATTTCCATTTTCTTCTTTTTTGTTTATGTCTATTTGATAACCTTGTGAAATAAATATGGATTATTTTGAAAAAAAAAAGAAAATATTAAACATTAAAAAAATTCAAAATGGAATGTTGGAAATGTTGTCTGATTTGGGGATGTGTTGGGCCTGGGATAGTCCTGCTCTGGCGGCTCAGTTGAATCGGATTGGACTGGATTGCATCATGCCCCAGAGCAACGGCTGTCGCAAGACCTTGGATGAGGGAACACTTCCTCTAGGTGTTGCAGTGCCATGACTCCTAGGGAACCAATGGCTGGAGGTGTTGAGAACTGGCTGCCTGAGTTATAGCACCACCCTGGATAGATAGGTAGGTAGAGCCAGGACTCTAAATGAGGTCCTAGACTGATTTTTCAGACATTTAGCAGAAGAACTATTTTTTCAAATGAAATCGTACTGAAAAATACCCTAAGCAAACAAGAATTGTGTTGTTCTGGTTGAAGTAGGAATTGGGGCGTCCAGAGACCCCAATTCAGCTCCCCTTCCTGCCCTCCCTGCAACCAGAAGTTGTTAGAGTGGTTCTTGAAGCATCTCTGGAGGTTTCCAAATTGACTGTTTGAAAAGCCAACAGTTGTTGGTCTTAAGAGGGCAACTTCTATTCCAGCAACAGGTTTGCCCACTCAGTGCGAGAAATCCAACCAAAGTTATATTTACCTCCCAAACACATACACCTGAGTTTCTTGAGACCCAACCTTCCTTCTGTGGAGCAAGTGTCTTCATGATCTTTGCCTACAAACTCCTACAAATTCCAGATATTTCCTTCAGTCTTTTCTGACCTTCAATGCCTTAGGTAAAACGAAGTTTTCCTTCACCTGTGGTCCCAGAGCACTTTAACCATGACACCCTGCTACACTGCTTTGTAACATGGTGCTTGAGCTGGGCTCACACTGTTCAAATGAATCCTGAAGGTAGGAGTGAAAACTTAACTCCCTAACCATGGACTCCCACTGTGTGTCTGTTTGCAGTCACTGGCTTACACGGGAATTAAGAAATCTCGGTGGGGGGGTCAGGACCATGGTTTGGGGTTCAGACAATATAGGGAAGGCTAACGTAAGGAGACACTAGGAGACTCTATGGGAAAAAAGCTACTTCCAAAGAAGGAGGAGTCTGGCTCTACCAGAATCAGCCACAAAATCTAGTAGTAGGAGAGGAAATGGTGGTTTCCAGTGGAGGAGAATGGCCATTAATATAAGCATTAAAGCGCAGCCAGTCTGTTAGTACACATACATCCTAGGGATAAAAGGCTTGTGTTTCCAAATGAAAATAGCTATTCCATGACTCTGTTTGGAACCTCTTCTAGTTAAAGAGAACTCGGTGGAGTGAAGTCAATATTCCAATGGTAGAGGAAAGGTAATCAGTCAAAATCACCAGCAGAGCATCAGGCAATATCCCAGAGGCAAGAGGCAGTAGTAGCAAGGGTGTGTGGAGCAGAGAGTCTAGCGAAGTGGAGGGAAAAGAGCCACCAAGTTGTCTGTACATGAGAACGATGACTGGGTGGAAAGCAGGGGCAGCAGGATGTTCAACATTCTGGACCAACAAATGAGAGCACAGGAGACCCACGTTGGGTCTGGTTGCAAAATGTGAGAGGGAACCATATGGGAGAGGGAGAGAGATGGAAGTCCAGGCACTAACAGCTTGGTATTGAGCTAGCAGAATTCATTTGGAAACATTAAGGTGTGCTCATGTGCACCCACACACTAGTAAGAGCTGGGGACACTCAGGCTACATTTTGTATTATTATTTGTTCCCATGACTGGGGCTTGACATTATTAGGTACTAGGTACTTCGGTGAGATTGCTATGCCTCAGAGATCTATGTACCAGAAAATATCCCCAAGTGAGCCCCAGTCTACGTGAAATGACACACTTAGATGTTACGGCATGTTAATTGCCTGATACTGAGGTATTGCAACTGGTAATAGGTTAGCAGAAAGGATGCATTGAACTAGCGAAGACTGCTTTAAGCATGAGCATATGTCAAATGCAGAACTTTTATTTTAAAATTTAGAAAGAGAAAAGCTACTCAAAGATCAAACTTTGGTAGCTTGGAATTAAGGTGATTAAGAAATGTTAAGAGTGTCCACAAATCCAAACATGATAGATGATCTTAGTTTCATCTAGAAAAAGGTCAAAGCTGCTACAAGTTGACAAGTATTGTATGCATCTCAAACTATCCGGACAGAGCAAAGAACAGAATATATTTTCTTTCCCAACATTTTCTACAGGGAGTCAAATTATTCTACACTTCGTTTGTCACCCACCCCTATCCTGCTGCTTTGATTCTGAGACAGCACATGCACTGGAACCATATTTACAGCATACTTGCTTATGTTCAGATTTATGTATTGTAATTTATGTTTTTGAATTTATGTATTAATTTATGTTCCAGAGAATAAATTTACATTCCCTGCATTCACAATTCACACAATTGATTTTATTAGTATGACTGTTAAAATGAGTATAGGAGACTATCTGAGTTCAAAGTTTGCATAAAAATCAAATAGATGTATAATTAATATTTACAAAGGTATTTTGAATGAATGCTAGCTTTTTGCTGTCTGACTTTTATTAAATGGTGGAGTTAGTAAACCAGACATTAACTCTCCTAAGTTTGAGCAGAAAAGAGTTTGAGAAGGAGGCTCTTTAACTAAGAAGCAGCAGTTGTACAAGATGCTCTAGGGTCTTCTACCCAAGACTGACTTCTTCCTTGGGGTTCTCTTATTTTGATTCTCTCATCATCATGACTTCTAAATACAAGGCAATCTACCTTTTTAAAATCCAATTGATCACTAAATGCCAATAACTTATTCCCAAAAATATATGTGTGTAATTTTTTCTAGTGAAAGGAAATTTTCACTAAAAACTGAGAAAGTTCACATTAACATGGAAAATACAGGCTAATTAAAAGCAGTCCAATTTCAAAATAGTCTTGTGTTGTTAAGGAGCCTAGAGAAGTAGCGTAGGGCTTGGTAATTCTCAAGCTTCCTCAGTTTAAGATGGATACCCTTGGCTGTGGAGGGCAGGTGTCCCTTGGGAGTAACTTTTCCCTAACAGATTTACTGGCTGCCATCTTATCATGTCAACTGTGTTATGTTCAACATAAGAGCCTATCATCCCCCACCCAAGGACAAAGTACAAAATATAAAGCTCAGGGTCACAGATTTCCTGGTGGCCTCTAACTCAGTTTTGTGTTTTAATCTGAGGAGCAAGAGTGACTGGAGGGGTTGTGATTCACGATAAATGATTCTCTGGCATTTCCCCTCCTGTCTGTAGTAGTCAGCCCTATGACTCGCTCAGTTTACCCCACCCAGCCCATCAGCAAATAATTAGACAAAACCCAGCCATTTCAAGCGCAAAGTCTTGGTCATACAATAACCACATTACACAAATATTGTAAAGTAAACAGAGATACCATCACACAAAATTAAATGCAAGTTGAGGGGATTTATGACTGACCAGACAAAACATTAAGTGAGCAAAATAGCTTTTTTAAAAGGCCAACCTATATTTAGTTACAACTGTTCCCTTTGGAGGAATGTGGCATATCTTGGTTTTATCAGTGTGATCTTTAGCTTTTTGACAATCCACAATTAAAAACACATAAATCTCTAGTACATATCTTCAGTAGTCATACTAATTCCTGTTAGCTAAGGTATCCAAAAATAAACTATTTATTTGTCTAAACTTAAGGTTTTAAGAGAGTTCTAAAAATACAAATTTATAAAAATTTACTTACGTAATTTTCTTGTTAAACACAAATAATTTGGTATGAAGTTTGGTAACTTTATTCATTTATCAGGACTATCAAAATGTAACAAGGAAATAAGAATAACTGTATAGCTACCAAAGTAGGTTTAAAGATAATTATATTTAGATATCTTCATTTGTAATCTTCCACCTGTAATGTTAGCTCTTAAAAAATATCATTAAACGTGTCAACAGAAAATAGAGCAGCAGAAACGTATGTCAAGCTTTTAAAAATAGTTCTATTTAAAAGAATACTTACTCTTTAGCTGCCCTCTAAGAGGATATGTCCTGAGTTTTTCAATAATATCAACCATGATCAAGCAAGTCAGAACCAGAGAGACTGGCAGGTCAGGTAACATATCAGGCAACACGGCAGAACCATTAACATTCTTCTGAACCTGTTTTCAGAAGACCATTTAGAAGCATTAAATTTTTGTGCTTTCTTTGTTCAAAATTCTTTGAGGTGTCTGAAAGTGGTGTTAAATTAATTATAAATACATTTACTATAAGACTAGAGGCCTGGTTTTCAGCCTTTTAGGTGTTCAGCCCCACAAGGTTTTGAATCATTTCTAAAGATGTAATAAGGATTCTTATCAATGGAAGAGCTTTCAGTTAAAGATAGAACTTGGCAAAATGTGAAAATATAACAGTAGGTTCCTGGAATACTGGAACGGCGAACCTTTCCCAACCCTGCTGCTAAACAGAACCTTTGAGAGTCCTAGCTCAAAGAGCCAGGGGGACAAATACTAGAGTGCTGGGTCTTCCAAGAAGAGAGAGCTGGGTAAACCAAGCTACGTTTCGGATCACTTCCTTCATCTGTTTAAGGTATCTACAAAAAAGCCTATGGCAAACATCATGTTAATGGCAATATGTTAAGAGTTTTCCCTCTGAGATCAGGGAGAAGACAAAGGCTACATTATGACCATTTCTGTTTGACATTGTCCTAGAGGTCTTAGCCAGTGTAATAAGGCAAGAGAAAAAAATAAGCAGTATAAGTATTGGAAGGAAATAAAAACAAAATATCATTATGTATAGACTATATGATTGTATATGGAGACATTCTCCTCAAAATGAATAAATTACTTCTACATAGCAACAACAAAGAGAAAGTAAGTTTTTTAAAAAAATGATGCCATTTGATACATCAGTGAAAATTCCAACATTTTTTGTGGAAAATGGCAAGCTGATTCTAAAATTTATATGGAAATACAAAGGGCAAGACATTCTAGAAGAAAAAAAAAGAAGATATAAAGGTTTTCTCTTCTGGATTAAAAAGAGCTATTATAAAGCTACAAGAATTAATACAGTGTGGTGTTGGCATAGGAATAGAAAAGTAGACAATGGAACAGAACAGAAAGCTCAGAATAGACCATGTACACACACATCTGATTTATAACAAAAGTAGCACTGCAGAGAAATGTCACAAGGACATACTTTTTAATAAATGGTGTTTAGTTCATTAGATATTTGGAAAAAAAAACCTTGGTTCCCTACTGAGCAACATACACAAAAATTAGTTCCAAATGGATTATGAATCTAAAAGAGAATGACAAAACGATATAGCCTCCAAAATATAATACAGGAGATTATCTTCAGGACTTCAAGTTTCAGATTCACAATATGACAAAATCTTCTCAAATAAGTTACCAAAAGCAATATCTATAAAGGAAAGAAATTGATACACTGGACTATTTTAAAATTAAGAACTCTTCATCAGAAAAAGATATCATTAACAGCATGAAGTCACAGAATGAGAAGATATTTGCACTATATATAATCAACAAAGGTCTTGAAATCTGAATATACAAATAATTTTTTCAAATCCATTTTTAAAAGATAAGCAACACATGATGGAAAAAAATGAGCAAGATGAAAAACATGCTAAATCTCATCACTTACTGGGGAAATGCAATTGAAAATGACATTGAAATTCAAGAATATACTCACCTGAATGTTTAAAATGAAAAGACTTACAAATTAAGTGCTGGTGAGGGTAGGGAGCAATGTGATTGCTCATTCTCTGCTAGTGGGAGGCTAAATTAGCATCATCTCTTTGGAAAATTGGCAGTGTCTGCTACAACTGAGCAGTTGAATATATCTTATGATCCATCAGTTCTACTCCTGCACATTTAACCTACTCAGATGCTTACACATGGGCACCAAGAGACACATTCAAGGATGTTCATAGCAGCATTATTTATAATAGCCAAAACTGGACACTAAAATGGCCATCAAGAATAGAATTAATGAATAAATTGTGATATATTCATATAATGAAATACTCTACAGGGATGAAAAAAATGAACTACAGCTATACACAAAACATGAGTGACCCATACTTCTGAATACAAAGAGAGAGACACATATTAGATGGTTGGATAGATAGACAGACAGACAGACAGATAGGTAGTAGATAATTTGATTTCCCTTTATAAAGCTTTCAAAAACAGATAAACTAATCGTGATATTAGAAGTTAAGGTAGAAGCTACCTTTGGGGAGGAGGGAGAGTATGGAGTATGGAGGTGGCTTTGAAAGAACTGGCAAAGTTTCATTTTTTGACCTGAGTGGTATTTCCACAGGGGTTTGCTTTATGGTATCCCATTAACATTGCATATTTATGCTGTGTGAACTTTCTGTTCATGCATTATGCTTCAATGAAAAATTAAATAAGAAAAAAAAGGAAAGAAAAACATGTATCTGTGGGTGGGACATAACGGGAACGAACCCCAAAAAGGGGACTCAAACAACAGACTATCATCTATGAGAGTGGTGTTCCTTGAACGTTTGTAAACTGAAATTTTGAAGCTCTTGGGGACCTTCCAAGTGCTTTACAAGGTCTTTGGGGAGGAAGGAGGAGAAAATGATAAATCCAGATTAAAATACTCATGTGCTGCAGTTTGATGCAACATACATCTGTGTGTCCTTCCGAGATTACTTTGTGCTTTCATCGACGGTCCTAATGCTGCATTTAGGACATCTTCTAATGGTCATGTAATTTCTAATGGTAGATCACCCAGCACTCATCGCTCTCACAGCACTGTTCATACTGATTCTAACTGCCTGTTTATTTTTCTCTCTACTGTCAACAAATAATTACCGAAGGCCAGAGACTCTGTCAAAATTTTTTGAGGGCTCTACCCTCTGTACCTAACACTGTGCTTGGGATGTAACATGCACTTAATGACTACCTACTCAACATGTAAATGAAAATTTAATTAATTAATTAAAATGATATCTTTCACAGCACCTTGCAAATTAATAGGATTAGCAGGGCATTCAGCTTTGAACTTCTCAGGTAATAAAGTTCTCACAGCCTGCAAGTTCTGCCTCCAATATTCCTGAACTGCCGGTGCCTATCCAACTATCCATCAGGGTCCCTTTGAAGCTGCATTTAGTTTAAACGTAAATTTAAACTTATTGTTAAATAAATATCATGTACAAATTATTTGTCAATGGACATATTACCAAAGGTCTTAGCATGAGAGTGGTTGTTCCTTTGGATACTGTTTTATTCCATTTAGAACTGAGGACACTCATGAAAAACATCAGGTCAGAAGAAACAAATGTGGATCTACTCTCAAATTCCTTGCTTTTTTATTATTTGCAAATAACATTCCTTTCTCACTTACCAAACACAGCAGCAGTTTTTTTTTTAATTGGCTGCTAGACCTTCCTTCACAATCACAGAGGTAACAATGATCTTAGCACTTTAAATATATATATTGCAACATGGAAGAAGACGAGAGAAAATAAACTTTAAGAAACTTGTTGGGCACACCTCTCTAAAAAGTTTTAATAACAAAGGACATTGTAAAATCTCAAAATCTTGCAGCAGAAGAAATTAAAATTCCATACCTCAGTCACTGCTATGGAAAAGCTGAAGCTGGGAAGTGTGGTGAGTACTACACACATCACCATAACAGGTCTCCTAGCAAAGGAGAAAAAATAAGCAAAAGCAGTAATGTACAAGATCAACAGTTCCTGTTAACATGTTGCCAATTTTGCAGTTCCTGTTTCATTCATCTATAGTTTTTCTAAGAAGCGACTGCTTCCCCATTTCCATTTCCCAAATGTTTGAGTGTGGCAAAGGGGAACACACACACACAAACCAGGATGCTTTTCTAGAAAAAAAGGTGTGAGAGATTTCTAGTCAATGAGCAAACTGCCGACTGCTAAGAGCATCACAGTGCAGGGAAAATGACACAATAATTCCATAATTCATTCACCAGAATCCTGCCCAAGAATTCAGGCTCTGGTGACAAACTGCAAAAAACGAACAGCATGACTTTCTCAAGTGACACCAGACCCTAAGTTGTAAAATTGATTTCTCAAAAAATACACTCAGAGACGACACAGTATTGGGTACTTAAAGTTGACTTAAAGTGAAAATACCGGATTGTTTTTTACTTGAACCAATGTTTTTAAAAAATCAAATATACAAAAAGATCATATAACTTTTCAAAATGTTTTTTGGACCACTTCTTAAGCCTTGCATGATCAAGGAATCAAATAGTTATTGCGATATAATATGCAACATTCTAAGTAATATTCTATTTCATGAGAGAATTAAAATGTGTATTTAGCATCATTAATGTATGCAAAGATAAAATGTACTCAGTTTTTCTATAATGAATTATTTACCTCCTCTTTCCTTAAATACATATTAAACTAATTACATTTATAGGATTGTATGTGTTTAAGTACAAAAAGTGTTGGAGTCTTTCAAATGTGACTTAGAATTTCTCCTTGTTCCAGCCACGTCTCCCTCCATCCCAGCCCCATCTTAGATGTTCTAGGGATAGATACTAGATGGGGGTGGGATAGCCACTCTGTCATAGCCAGACCCAGTACGACCTGCTAAGACCAGAGGTATGATGAAATTTTAAATGGGATTGAGGTTCCCACAGCGCTCAGCTCTCTGAGACTGGCTAGGGTATTCATAGCGTCCTCTTCCCACTTGATCTCTAAAAGATGAGTGCCCGCAGGGGTTATTCCTGCACTTCTTCTTTGTATTATCTCCCTCAATTATCTCAGCCACTCCCATGGCTTTAAATACCAACCACTTGCCCATGACTCCCAAATATATTATAATATATGCATACTAGCCTCCATCTTGAGCTCTGGACATGTACACCCAACTGTCTACATGGCACCTCCACTTGGGTGTCTAATTGGCACTCAGACTTAACATCCCTGGCAAAGAACCCACGTTCTTCTCCATACCTGTTCCAATCATCCTGAAATCTTGTCTGATTGACTGCCAACATACATTTCAAATTATCCTCTGATAACACCCTGGTTCATTCACAAGCATCTCTCATCTGCAGTATTTCGTAACCGGTTTCCTGTTAGTGCCTCTTCTTGCCTAGTGATATTTTCTCCCTAAAGTGAAATGCTGGGAGGACTGGAGTAGGGGAGTTATTGTTCAATGCGTACAGACTCTCAGGTTTGCACGATGAAGAGGGTTCTGTGGGTGGATGGTGGCGATGGTACCACACCCATGTGAATGTACAAAAGGCCAATGCTCTGTGCACTTAAAAATGGATAAGACAGCAAATTCTACATATATTTTACCACAAAATACATTATGTGTGTATTTTAGAGATTTTAAAAAATCTTCAATGATAGGTAAACAAGTTTATACTGTATAGCACAGGAACTGTATTCAATATCTTGTAGTAACTTATGGTGAAAGAGAATATGAAACGAATATATGTATGTTCCTGTATGACAGAAGCATTGTGCTGTACAACAGAAATTGACACAACATTGTAAATCGTCTATACTTCAACAAAAATATATATTTAAAAAAATAAAATAAATCAACTACTTGAACACACACACAAAATCTCCAATGGATGAGTCATGTAATTAGAATAAAATTGAAACCTAAGGCCATCACCTACATGTTCTAAATGATGTGGTTTTTCTTATTTCTCCTACTCTCTTCACTTTCTTCTGCCTCTTCCCTGACGCCTACTTAGCCCCAGCCATGCGACCCTCTGGTTATTCAGGGACCACACCAAGCTCGCCCCACCTTCAAGTCTTACACTGGTTATTCCTCTTTGCCCGGGAGTCTCTACTCCTAGAATTTCCATGTCTGGCTCCCTTTGTCATATATGTGTATATATACATATGGGTGGTTTTTTGCAGCCTTATGACTACCTGAAATTCTGCCGATTATTTCTTTTCTTATTTATTTGTTTGTCACACTCTTTGCCTATAACCAAGATAAGTTCCAAGGAGCAGGCACCTTATCTGAGTTGTTTACTACTTTATCTCTAGCGTTTACAACAGTGTTTCCAACCTTTTTTGTACAGTTAACTTCCTGAGAATCTGGTAAATCCTATGAACGCCTCTCAGAATACAATTTTTAAATGCATAATAGACACAGACTTACAAAACAAAGCAATATTATGTTGAAATACAGTTATCCATGTCCTTGTAACATTTTGATATGGTAATATATACACCTATCTAAGAACACATTGTTTTCTTATTTTCTTTGGAGTACTCAAGATCGAGTGGAAACTTTAGTCGCTCATAATTTCAAGATAGTGAAGATCACAAACCATATCCTGAAGTATCTGCAACAGTTGTAATGTGATATGAAAAAAATCTACGTAATAAAGTTACAGATCCTGCTCTACAACTGTGGTTTTTAGCAACGTTCATAACAGAAAGAAATGCTACTTTCAATTAGAGGTTAGTGAAAATAGAGATGTAACTTGTTTCTCATCCAAGTTCAAGAACCCCATAATGCTGGAGAATGCCAACACACAGCACACATAGCAAGAATTCAATAAATACTAAATGAATGAGTGGAATAGTTAATAAGTGAACGCCAATACAAATCTATGTTTTATTTAGTCAGAAATACTGCTAATCTGTATTTGAAAATCTTGATTTACGGCTAACACATGTTCATAACTTGTTAAGAGTGTTATGGGTTGAACTGTGTCCTCCCAAAAAGATACGGTAAAGTCCCAACCCCTGGATCTCAGAATGTTACCTTTTTTGGAAATGGGGTTTTTACAGAAATTGTAAGTTTATAATGAGGTCATTAGGGCAGGTCCTGCCCCAATAAGACCAGTGTCCTTATAAAAAAGGAAAATTTGGAGACAGGTATGTACAGAAGGAAGACTACGTGAAGACACAAAGGAAGATGTCATGTGAAGATGAAGGCAGAAATCAGGGTGATGCATTTATAAGCCAAGCATTGCCAAAGATTGCCAGCAAACCATCAGAGGCTAGGAGGGAGGCCTGGAACCCCTCACAGCCTCACAGCCCTCAGAAGAAACCAAACCTGCCAACAACTTAATCTCGAACTTCTAGCTTCCAGAATGGGTAGACAGTACACTTCTGTTGTTTAAACCACCCACTCAGAAGTCCTCTGTTATGTCAGTCTTAGCAAATGAACAGATTTTGCTATAGGGAAGTGAGATACTGCTGTAACAAATACCAAAAAATGTGGAAGTGGTTCTGGAATTGGGTAATGGAAAGAGTCTGGAAGAGTCCAAAGATACACAATAGAAAAAGGCTGGGTCGCTCAGAAGAGACTATTAGCAGAAAATGGAAGTTAAAGGAGAGTCTGGTTCCTCAGAAGGAAAAGAGGAGAGCTAGGAAAGAGTTAAAAGAAAAAACAACTATTGGGGGGAGGGTATAGCTTAGTGATAGAGCACATGCTTAGCATGTACAAGGTCCTCGGTTCAATCCCCAGTACCTCCATTAAAATAAATAAGGGGGGAGGGTATAGCTCAGTGGTAGAGTCCATGCTTAGTATGCATGAGGTTCTGAGTTCAATCCCCAGTACCTCCTCCTCCAAAAATAAATAAGCCTAATTACCCCCCCACCATCCTGCCAAAATTTTAAAAAATTTAAATAATACAATAATAAATAAATATTTTAATAAAATAAATAAACAAGCCTAATTACTTCCCCCCAAAATGAGAACAAAAAAAATTAATAAATTGAATTTTTAAAAAATCTCTATCACCCTAGAAGATACAAATATTGTTATGAACAGAAAGTTGGTAGAAATATGAATGTTAAAAGTGCTTCTGGTGATGTCTCAGGCAGAAATGAAGACCATGTTATTGGAAACTGGAGGAAAGGTGATCCTTTTTATAAGTGGAAGCAAACTTGGCTGAAAGGTGTTTTGTTGGGTAGAAAGTAGAACTTGTAAGCAATGAACTTAGATGCTTCGCTGAGGAGATTTCTAAGCAAAATGTCAAAGGCTCTGCCTGGTTTCTCCTTGCTGACTACAGTAAAAGGCAAGAGACACACTGAAGAGGGAACTGTTAAGCAAAAAGGGGCCAGAACTTGAAGATTCAGAAAAATTCTCAGCCTATTCTGCAGAAAAAGAAAAAAAAAGCAGAAAAAATGAGAGAGCATGTTCTGGAGAGAACTCTAAGGGTGTGGCTTGTGAATCCATTCAACCACCTCAGCATAAATACTGACAGCTTGCACTGAAGGGGGATGGGACGAAGCGAAGGAAGACTTCCGGGATACAACAGGCAGGAAATAGGCTAATAGAAGCTATCTGGCTGCTAATATGTACTATCCTTCAAGGAAAGGGAAGAATGACTTGATGGTGCTTCAGATGAAGAGAAGCTGCCACGGCCACCAGGGTCTCCCTTCTCAGATCTAGAGGGTGGGGCTGCTTCCCTTGGCCAACTGGATGGAGCCCCCACCCTGATGACCCCAGAGAACAGAGTGTTCAGGCACAGAGGTTTATTCTCAAGCCTTAACATTTAATGAAATTTGTCCTGCCAGGTCTTGGATTTGCCTGGGACCCATGACTTCTTTCTTCCTTCCAATTTCTCCACTTTGGAATGGGAATATCTATCCTATGCCAGTCCCACCATTCTATTCTGGAAGCAAGTAACTTGTTGCCTGGTTTTACAGGTATACAGGTGGGGAGGAATT